GACACTGCATGAGGCTGTATTCTGGTAAAAGTAATTTGTAGAACCAGGAGACCAGCCTGGATTTGATAAGCATTCCCCCCTGGAGACCTGGCTAGGACCCTTGCAGTATCTGGATAGACAGAATGGATGCCACTGGCTCAGCATTTGGTCTGCATGTCACACATGCAGCCCTCTGGCTTCAGGACTGACATTTGTATTTTAAATGTGGGAAAGGGGGTCAGTGGGTTTTGGCCCCGTCTACTTTGTGTGACTAATTCAGAAGAGACATGAGTTCCAGCAACAGGCAGGGCTCAGATGACACTCACTAAAGTGCATTCATCAAGGATATGGTGAAATGCTGTTGTTGCTTGGAAACAGATGGGTACTCAAGTCCAACCTAAGATGAAAACTACAAATTGAAGATGATTGTGACAAATTTCCAATTATCCAATGTTTGATTGCCCCTTAACTGAATAATCCTAAGAGATAAAAAGGAAAAATAATTTATCTGGGCCAACTGTAGGGTCTTAAACACCCAAAAGGAAAGTATAACCAAAGATTAACAGGGTCAATACAATTTTTAAGAGTCCAGACGTATAGCTAAAGGCTATATAACAAGAAACAATGTCAGACAGGAGCTACCTTCCCTTGAGTTATTAGCCAGGGTAGCCCAAAGGACTCCAAGACAGTAGCCCAGCATAAAAATGGGTAACAGCAGATCCCAATCTTATGTAAAAGAATATTGACAATTGATTGCTGCTAGATGAGGAACAGCTGATCTTCCTAAAACAAGTATCTCTGTATTAGCTGATGGACAAGCACTGGGGAACAGCTGGGGACACTGACAACACAGTGGACAGTAACAGGGATGACAGAGTATATGGGCTCCAGTGGGGGGAAGGGGAGGCTGCCATCTGGGAAGTGGGTATATAGATGAATAAGATTGTACGGGATGTTCTGTATGATATACACACAGAAAAATCAACAAATTTTTACTTCGTGTTAAATAGTAGAGGTGATAAACATTACCAGTGAAATCTACCTGATGACTTTATATCCGTACTCAGGTACTAAGGGTCCGAGTGTAACCGACTGTGACTAGTAATCATCAGATACAT